CATACAACCATACAACCATACAACCATACAACCATACAACCATACAACCATACAACCATACAACCATACAACCATACAACCATACAACCATACAACCATAAAATAACTTAAAAGTTATAAAAAAAATAGGCTTGTAAAGAGGAAAAACGGCTTCAATATAATGTGTAACTTGACCATATTTACTATTAAAAAAGAGAGCTTCAGGAGTTTGGATTTCTGGGTATGAATTTTATACAATAATTCGCCTTCCCCCCGGCAATAAAAGTTGACGTGTTTGTCTAAATTTTGAGGGGTCAAGTATTTATTGCTACATCCTTTATAGATAAATAATAAGAAGGAAATTAAATAAAATTCTTCTCAAAAAAAAAAACAGTGTTGCATTTTTACTATAACTATCCTAGATATTTAATTTCATTCAAATTGAATTCCTCCCATAATTAATTTTCATAAACAGATGTGTTTTCCAAAATGGTTATTTATACATTTTTCGTACTGCTAGCAATATTACAACTTAACAAATATTAATATTTAAAATTTGTTCATGATGTGTCAAACACATTTATTAGTTGATTTCTAATTGGCTTGTGATTATACCAACGACGAACAACTACCAGACCAATTTTGTTTACAAAAACCGAGTTGCAAGCATTCCTGGTGTTATCCACGTGGTTGTCAAATTATTGTGAGAGTCTTGTTACAAAGATTGTTTATGATTATGGTTCGGAATTTACTCAACATAAGGTTCTAAAACACACAGAAGACTCTCAAAATTACATAAAGGAAATATATTTGCATTCTTGGTGCCAGTTATTATCCGTTTATTGTTTTTCTCTGGTTGCAACTATTTTTGTAGTTGAAGGTGATTTACAGGAAAGTACACTATTTATTTTGCGGTGTTGCAATGATGTAAAGCAGGAATCATAGTTGTACCAGCTGGTTTATTCATAAAACGCTTACTGGCATAAATTATCCCCACTCAATTTAGTAGGCATCTCGTTCTTTCTAATGCGGCTGCCGACGCGACAGCTCTGTCTGCCGAACATAAAGTAAATAAGAGCTTAATTATTATGGATGAATAAATTAGTCTAGTAGTTTTTCGTTGTAGGTCTTCGGTAACTTTAGTGACACGTGACTGATCCGTAGTGCATATGAGTAGAACAATAAGCAAATTATGAAAACCCCTACTCTAGACTGTTCTTATTTTTAAACTACAAACTATCTTTTAGTCAAATTTAGATGCTAAACACAAATATTAAATGGGGGTTTTTTAACTAGAGTCAAAAGGTATAGAAAATAAAATTAACAGATCCTTAAAATTATTTTTGGAATTTAAAAAAAAATAATATTATACGTCGCAATTACATAAGAGATTTGGTCCCTATGCTCCGCCCTTAAGAAATGCATAATTAAAAGAATATTTCAGTAATAACTTTATATTTCCCTTAATCCTCAATGCAATGTTCCTACATTTCAATACCTTCACGGAAGAAATTTCCTTGAACCTCTCCAAACTATGCAATTAGAGAACCATTTGAGTTTTGGAAACAGTCTGTAGTCACTAAGGCGTCAAATGTGGCAAAAAATGAGTGTTCTATCAATTGGAATCCTGCTTGATGAATAGCAGCTTTGACAACACAAGATATTTGATATAATGCACAATTTAGAAATTAAATCTGCGTAATAATTTATTTTAATAGATAGTCAACCAAAATTACCCCATCATTGTCCTAAGAAACTGAGTCATCACCTTCCCAGCAAATGAAACTACTAGAAATTTTGGAGGTGGAGGAGACGCCCTGTTTTCATTCTTTACTCTACATTTTAGTTTCAAGATCGTAATTGTGCATCCATGATTCATATACAGTAAGAAATAGGTCAAAAAACATTTTTCTTTGATTTGACGATACGTTTTTTAAAGTTGCTTACAAGTACTTGATTTTGATTTTTTATATCGTTGGGAATCTTGTTTTCTCTATGACATAATATGTATTGTCCTAGACCTTTTTTCATTCGTAGTTACCTTGATATGATATTAGAGATTCGAAATTCTTTAGCACGAAGCTCTTCCACGCTTGAATTCACAACTAATGTTGATATCTAATTTTGATAAATTAAATTAATTCTAATAGATAATCGAAACTATTATTAAAAAAAAAGTATTGCACAAAACAAAATGGAATGAATTTCAGAAAGAATTGTCAAATAGAATACAAAAAAATGTTTCATTAAAGACTAAAAAACAAACCAAGAAGTTAAAAGTTTGTAAATGATATTCAACAGGCGGCTTGACAAAAAATACCTGAAATCGAAAGATTAACAATGGGAAGCCATTATTCTTTTGAAATAAATGACAAAGAATAAGAACACCAGATGATCAAACAAGACTAAACAGAGCCTCCCAAAAATTACGAACAGAAATTGCACAACTATAAACGAGTCAATAAATACTTGCAAGAACTAATTGATGATAGTGAAACAAACTATTTTCTCTGGAAAATAGCAAAAATACTAAAAATTCTACTGCCCTTCAATCAGAACTGCCAATGGAATCCGGGCCAAGTCAAATTAAGAAGAATCAGAAATGTTCTCAAATCACTTAGAACAAACTTTGCAGCTTAACAAAAATAATAGTATACAGGAGGGGGTGGGTTGGCTCAGTGGTTAGAGTCATGACTCTGAGATCGGAAGGTCTCAGGATCGAATCCCACCGGTGGCAGGAATTTTTATTTAATTAAAAAATTAAATATTAATTCTAATGCATAGGTAGGATTCCCCACTCGACCATTCACTGTTGGGTTCTAATTAACAGTGCTGTTCCTAAAGTGGCGCTGGGAAACAGTAACAAAGCCTACACAGAACACGAGGCTAATGGCCGTAGTAGTCGACGCCGATGACACCAAATTAAAAAAAAAAAAAAAAAATAGTATACAGGAATTATTGTGGTATGAAGGTGAACTAGGCATCAATCTAATAACACATAAAGGACTAACAGAAGAAATTAAGAACAACCGTAATACAAAAGGCCTCTCAGATTGAACTTTAGATTTATTTAGGACCATGGGCCATGTGGCTTACCTACCTTGATCTTTTTAGATTTATTGTGGACATTCTTTAATCGTTGTTTAGAGTACCTTGTCTAATTCGGTCTTTTGTAGTAGACTCCATAGACTAGAAAGTAGTTCACCGACGTAGCTAGTTCCCTTGGTTTTTCTTTTCCAAGTGTAAGAAATCTTAGTCTTGATAGACCTTTGCAGTAGCACAATACGCGTTCTGCAGTTTCATCCTCTTCTTGACAGAATCAGCACATGTTTGTTAAGCCTACAATGTCCTATTAAAAGACCTACTAGTACTCTAATATTTTTCCTATTAAGGCTTAGTAGATGCTCGGTGAGTTTAGGCGATGTCCCTTTTAAGAACTATTTGGCCTGTTTACGTCCTGGTGAAATTTTTCACCATTTTGGCCATTTTTTAAACATTCACTGTTTTCTGCATATTTTGACACGACAGAAGAATTCTGGACCAATAAGAGCCTTTCAGGCTCCCTCTCGGGCTAGTAAATCGGCCTCTTCGTTTCCCTTATGTCCTTTGTGGCCTGGTACTCAGGCAAAGGTTAGTCTGCGGCTTAGATATTATAACCGGAGGAATTTTCAAGAAGCTACGAAGAATTAAACCATGAATTAAATTTAAATTGCGAAACATGGAAAACCTCCGAAATGAAGCATCATTGCTATAACCAATTGTCTTAACTATTCAAAAAACCATTGCCAACACAAAAAATACTAGTCAGCAAGAAGAACAAATTCACTGCATAACAAACATAACTGAAAAAGCCTACGAGGAAAAGCAATTATTAACCAATATTTTTGGATGTAGCTCAGGAATTCAACCGGGTCTGGCATGAAGGACCAATGAACAAACTGAAGAAAATATTACTAACACACTATACTGATATTTTAAAATATTATATTACTGGCCGAGTATTCTATGTCAAATAATAGAAAGCATTTTCTACAATTAAATATATTAACGCAGGTGTCTCAACAAACCATGTAACGATCATTACTTTTGCTAACGATACAGAATACAGCTATCCTAAAAGTGTGACATGACTGCGAAGAAACTATAGAAAAACTCCAGCAGGCATGTAACTGAATGGAAATTATAATAAATAACAGGTAATTATTATTCATTAGCTTTGCCTGTAAAGAAAGGAAACAATAACCAATAAGTATAAATAATAAGAAGATATCACACTGAAATACAGAAATACCTGGTAATGAACCTTGATTAAAATGGAAAGCACATATAAAGCAAAAAGGAAAGAATTCGACTAAAAAAATGAATTGGCTATTGGGACGAAAATCAAAACTTTTTGTATATAATATAAACAGATTTTAAACCAGTCTGACTATATGGAATCTACCTCTGCGGAAGTGCATCAAAATTAAAATCTTTTAGAACAAATTTTATCGAGATATTGTAGACGCAACATAGATATAAATGATTACCTGCACAGTGATTTGAAGATACTTACCATTAAATAAATAAGACATCAAGAGATTTTTAGAGATTCATAAAGGAAGACTTCATACTCATGATAATACCGAGGTACTACAGATCCTAGATACTACAAATCCTAGATAATGCTCATTTTATAGCCTATATGGCACCTTAGTTATAAGAAATTATTTTTTTTTTTAATTATGGTAGTAGGTCTCTTGTCTTTTTACTGCAAATATTTTATTTTGACCGAGTGGTTCCATTTTGATGCAAAATTCATGAAATAATTACTTTTACTAATTATCCTATTTACATAATTTTTATTGTTAAACATTTTTATCTAACAGGCTGTATAAAAGAGTCCGGGGTAGAGCATGGGAAGCAATTCTTATATTATTATAAAAAAACTATTTGGAAGTAGACTCATAGATAAAGCTTATATATGAGTATACTGCCAAAGATTTTGGCTATGACAACCACATAGATAGAAATTAAATTACCTTTATCACTAATACATTTAAAATTTTCTGATTTTTGGGAATGTTGATACTTTGCGGCTTCAGCTAAGGCATTTATATCTGCATTGTGTTCTCCTGTTGCTACTTCCATTACTGTAACCAACAAATATATGAAAATACTTTCAAAATAAACTAATTGTTATTAATGATTTGTATGAAAATATAGGCTTTGTTAGAGTAAAAGTTTCGTAAATTAACTTTCTTGTTTGTGTTTTCGTATAAAAGTTATTCCTAAAATCTTCCGTTTTGGTTTAAATAAATAATCTTAAAATGACCCGACAGCCTAATTTGGCAAAGGAAACTGTTCAATTTGCGAGGAATGTGAAATGATTAGCAAAAACTCATTAGTGACTCACAAGTAGGAAGCACTATTTTTATTTAACCATTCGGGCCTGTCTGATATCACTCTATTCCGTATGTACGACCTCTAGGGCCAAAGCTCTGCAGTCTTGAAGGCTTAAAGGAGACGCCACTATCAATAAGCCTGACTATTCGCGATTCAAGCTAAGTGATACGCCCTCTGGAGAAAATTAGTAAAAGGTCCCTATAAGTAGGATGACGTTCAGTGTTGCCAGAAGCAGCAAAATTTCGTTACGTCGTCGGATTTTAGTTTTTGAAGAAATGGATAAGACCTTTTATTTAAGAATCAAAATTTGTGTCTAGTAATATGTAATCATACTATTTATTTAAGGATTTTTTTATAAAATCGATTTATTATATTGATTTTTTTTTAAATATCAGTTCATTTATTAATTTTAATTTTAAAATCAGTCAGAGACAAAATCAGTTCATCATTTGGCAACATTGGCGTTCGTGTTCATTGTTTACATTTTAATTTGTATCAATTACAATTAGAGTTTTTTGTTACTTTTTAGCTTTAAATTTGTTTATTTCTTATAGTATGTGATAGTATTTAAATTAAAAATGAAATCTGCGAAAAAGCCTCCAGAAAATTGCAATCTGTATGGTGTTATTGTCAAAATCAAAACTGGAGTATTCATTATTTTTCAAGTGCAAGTCATAAAATTCTGTTTCTTACGATAAATGGGTATCTACAAATTCACAATATTGAAATTTTGCAAAACGTTGTTTAGAATCAAACTCCAATATGAGTTGTGACGGTTTTATTACCATTTACATGTATACAAAGTACTACACAATTCACTTCATGATATAAGAATAAGGATAGTAAGATTTTTAAAGAAGTTCATCAATAATAAACGTTTGGTACCTGATATGTCCTTTAAACCACATAATTAAACATGTCCTGGGTTTAGTTAATACATATTTCTAGATGTTCTTGTAGCAACCAATAGGTCAATATTTCCAACAAATTAGTTCGTACTACACATGGAAAATTACATTTATAACGAAAGTACGAAAACTAAACTTAAATTAACACCAAATGAAACTCAAAAATACTATTATAATAAGAATATTATCTAAAAACAGTTAAAAAATCACAAATACAAAATCTCACAACACGTAAATAAACAAACATCCTACTTATACGTGACAAATGACAGGCGCGCGAAAATTAATTTGAATCGCGAATACCTCTATTCGAGATTCAAATTAATTTTCACGCGCCTGTCATTTGTCACCTATAAGTAGGATGTTTGTTTATTTACATGTGTTTGTTTTGGGCGGATTTTGTATTTGTGATTTATTTAACTATTTTTAGATAATATTCTCATTATAATAGTGTTTTTGAGTTTCATTTAGTGTTAATTTAAGTTTAAGTCTCGTCATAAATATAATATTTATCATGTGTATGACTTAATTTGTTGGAAATATTTACCTATTGGTTGCTACAAGAACATCTAGAAATATATATTTACTAAACCCAAGGCATGTTTTATTATGTGGTTTAAAGGACATTCCAGGTACTAAACGTTTATTATTGATGAACTTATTTATAAATCTTACTAGATTTATTCTTATATTATGAATTGAATTATATAGTACTTTGCATAGGTACATGTAAATGGTAATAAAACCGTCACAAATCAGATTACAGTAAGATTCTAAACAAAATTTTGCAAAATTTCAATATTGTGAATTCGTAGATATCCATTTATCGTAAAAAACCAAATTTTACGACTTGCACTTAAAAAATAATGAATACTTTAGTTTTGATTTTGACATTAACACCATATAGATTGCAATTTGCTGGGGATTTTTTCGCAGATTTCATTTTTAATATAAACAATATCACATACTATAAGAAATAAACAAATTTAAAGCTAGAAAATAAGAAAAAACTCGAATTGTAATTAATGCAAACTAAAATGTAAACAATGAACATGAACACCAATGTTGCCAAATGATGAACAATATTGAACTGATTTTAAAACAAAATTAATAAATGAACTGAAATTTTAAAAAAATCAATATAATAAATCGGTTCTATAAAAAAATCCCTAAATAAATATAGAGTATGATTACATATTACTAAACACAAATTTTGATTCTTAAATAAAAGGTCATATCCACTTCTTCAAGAGCTAAAATCCGACGACGTAGCAAAATTTTGCTACTTTTGGCAACACTGAACGATATCCTACTTATAGGAACCTTCTACAAATTTTCTTCAGACGGCGTATCACTTAGCTAAAATCGCGAATAGAAATTAAATACTGCCAAAGGAATTATCTCTAAGTGGACAGAGGATAAAACCTCCATTTACTAGTGCAAACTCATTCCAAGTCGTTTTATACAGAACTTCAATGAACGCTTTTTTTCATATCTTTGAATGCTTACTCTCAATTGTGCCTATTGTTTTTCGGAAATCCTCAATATTCTCGTTTTGTCCATAAACTTTACTCTTAACGTATTCTCACTAGAAGAAATTAACTAGAATAAGATCTGTTTTTCCAGTCATAATAGTGACATAAAAACTTGTTTTGATGATACATTTTTTTTATTAGGTCTTTCGCATTTTAAAAATATAAGGACACTAAAATGTGGAACAATGCTTCAATAAGATTAACATTAATGAATATTGTGGGTGTAAAATATGGATTTGTTGCACCCATTAGAATGTGTTGCATCCAATGAGATTTTGAAACACCCAGTGAGATTCGTCGTCAGTCCAATAATGTCATACTTTTGTCAATTAAGATCTCCTCTCACATACAAAATAATATTGCTACTTACAATAATCTGCTGGATTATGATAAGAAGGGCATCTATAGTCTTGTTTTTCCAAATAACTAACTACGTCGCTGGATCTTCCATTATATATGCATTTTCCTTGTGATAGAGTATAGAGCTTATCGAACATCTCAAACAGTAAAGCTGATGGCTGATGAATAGTTGCAATTACTGTTCTACCTTCTTGTGCAAGCCTTTTCAAAAGAGATACACACTGTGTACAGGACATACTATCGAGGCCACTGCAACAATTTAAAAAAATAATTAGAAATATATCCATTGTAACTTAATTCTGGAATATCGCACATCACGAAGAAAACCGTATTAGGTAATATTTTGTAATGTATGTGCCTTATTTAGAAACAAAGCTATCTAGGGATCTATTTTAACATAAAAATAGTTTTGTGGCTATAGGGTTATAGGCACTTATAACCAGAAAAATTACAAATTATTACTCAATACGGTTTTCGTCGGTATGTGCGATATTAACTTAGTTTACATTAAATTGATTTATTATTAGGTACTTTTTAATTGCATACAGAGAAAAAAGTGTTTGCTTTTTTCGTATGAGAAAGAAAGGCTTTTTTAACCGACTTCAAAAAAGGAGGAGGTTCTCAATTCGTCGCAATATTTTTTTTATGTATGTTCAGCGATAATTCTTTAACACACTGCCCGATTTAAACGATTCTTTTTTTGTTAGAAAGGGGGTACTTCAGGGGTGGTCCCATATAAATTTGGTAAAAATCTAATAATTGGGTCCATGAGAAAATCCTCAAACTCTTAATTTTTTATGTATGTTTAGCGATAATGCTTTACCACCTTGTCCAATTTATATGATTCTTTTTTTGTTAGTAAGGGGATTCCTCAGGGATGGTCCCATATAAATTTGGTTAAGATGTGGTGATGGCATCTGCACGTTTTTGAAGTCGGTTTTTTTTTTAATTTTTAATTTCTAATACTTGTTTATAAAAAAAGATTACTAGAGGCTTGAAAAAATTCAATGTCTATTGGTCTTTTATGTAAACAGTGATCCACAAAAAATGTTTCAAAAGTAAGTCAAGACCGACAAAAACAGAGATATAGGCTATGTCCGTAATAACTACTCAGGGCTATGAATTAAATTCAAACTGACAACTAAAAAGAAGAAGAAGTTGTAGGCTTCAACATGGATAAATTTTTCCAAGGCCTGCTTTAGGAATAATTTTTTATAGCATTTATAGCATATAATTTATTGAGCAGTAAATAATAGTGTGATGATATTTTTGAATATCGTCGTATTGGTGGTGAACAGAGCTAAGCCACATTTTTAGGCAAAATGAGTTAATTATATCACATAAATAAAACAACTCTGAAAAATACAGTGGTGAAGAGAGATAAGCGATTTTGTAATTATAATTTTAAAATTCCACAAACTGAAAGAAGCTACGTAAAAATACATCTATCTCTTTTAGTCGTAAAATATTTTTAAGCGACATACATTTCTTCTTCTTTCGTTTTTAATTAAAATGAAGGACGTGTTTTCGTTTGTACCAAATTTTATCGAGCTTAGTACGTAAATAACTTAAGATTTAAATCAAAAGTTGTTTCAACCTAAGAGTTGCAAACTTATTTACCCATTTTCTCCAATTAATAAGTGTGTGGCTTAGCTCTTTTCACCACCAATACGACGATATGTCCAAAATAGGCAAATCAAAACCTTAAGGGTTTGAAGAAGAAACAAAACGAACTAAAAGCCAATCATGTCATAAACTAAAGCTAAATAACTTTTGACACTAACGGAATTCTTTGTAAAATTTTTTTTCTTGATTACAAAATAATTTAATTAATGTATATACATATTTATATAACATTTCTGATGACCTAAATGTGTTTAACATTCAACATATACACAGACACGCACGCACGCACGCACGCACGCTCGCACGCACGCACGCACGCACGCACGCACGCACGCACGCACGCACGCACGCACGCAATCATTTTTTTGGTTTGTTTGTTTGTTTGTTTGTTTGCTTTTTGGTGTAGGAGACGATAACTAGAAACAATGGGGTTAATGATTAAACATATGTCATTAAAAATAAAAAAACATGAACAGAGTTTCCAACATAAAAACAATACCGTAAGTTTTCCAATGTTGGGAAAAAGTAATAGGTATTGCTACATCTATTAGTAGTGCATACGCGGAACAAATTTTTAAACATAATGAAGCTGGTAAAAAGAATAGGCAGGTACTTTTAAAAATAATAAACATTTTAAAACTATGCGGAACGTGTAATCTTCCTCTTCGCGGTCATAACGAAAAAAAAGACTCTTCAAATAAAGGTGTATTTTTAGAATTAGAAGATTTCTTAGCAAATGCCAACTGTACCTTTGATAGTCATATTAAAGAAGCAACCGTAGTTGAAGGCACTTCAAATAAAATGCAAAATTAAATTCTTTAATGTACGTTGAGCGTGTGTCGTGAACACATTTTAGAAGAAACTAAAAAGACTCCGTTTCTTGCTGTTATGGCTGATGATACGTTACAAATTGAATGAAAAAATACACGAGCGTTTTTGGGGTCTTCCGAACCCAGAGAACCAAGATTGAAGTGGACTGTCGAAATGTATTTTGCAACAAATTTTACCTATCTTAGAAGATTGTCCTGATAAGTTAATTAGTCAAACATATTGTTACGCTGGTTTTTGGTATCACAATTTATTTGAACTCAACTTTTACAATAACTCAATTCAACTGACACAATAACTTTAACTGATAACATTAACGTTTAACGTCTATCATAAAACTCCAACTCTGACGTCAGGTCGTCGCCTTATATAGCTTGCCTCCCCTTCTGGAACCTTCTCGAACTTCCGAGCAATTACTACTAGGGGGAGTCGTACCCCCTTCCCCGCGCTAAATTTTGTTAGCAACATCTACTCCCCCGAGGGGGAAAATACCTCTTCTGTAATTGGCTTATTTAATCAGCGTTGCCAAGTTTGACCGCGCCAGTTCTGACACTTTCTGACACATGTCAATTTCTTATTGGAATTTTATGGAAAATATTATAATTTATAACGTTGTAAGGGTTGTAAATGTATATTTAAGATTTATTATCGCTAATAATATTGTGAAAACATGCTGTATGTGTAAAAGGCCTGTTGAAAATGCTTCTTCAAGATAATATCATAAGTAAGTACAGACACAACATAATTATCAGAGGCGGGGCATTAGGCAATCACCTTTAATTTGCAATTAAATTGTCTTATTTTCTTATCGAAAAATTAAAATTAAGAGCAAGTAAACTCCAGCTAAGTTCGTCTTCATCCGTCTTATAATGACTATAGTAAAGGTTAATTACTCATTATTATATTAATATCACATCCTTGTAAAGTTTATTGTTATTTTTTTTAGGTTTCCTTTTCTTGATATGAGAAAGAAATACATGGTTCCAAAATATAGGAATTCAACAAGTGACCACCTGAATAACTTTTTATGTCAATGAACATTTGTATTACAGACCTCAGGGGAGGAAATATTAAAGAAAAATGCAATTTCGATGAAAGAAGTATAATAATCAATCCTGTCACTACTTCTACACTATATTTATCTGCTACTAAAATACTAAAACAGCAAGTAAGTAGAGAAACTTAAATTTCTTTCAAAAAGAATGTTTAAGGAAAAAGGCATAGCCTTTTTTTGTTGACACTTTTTTTTTAACTAATCTAAACGACTAATTTTGTGTATTGTTTAAATTTTCATTTTTTGTACTTAATTTGTTTTAGGTTTAAACAAAATGAACTTCTAAGATATGCATGGAATATCCCAAAAGAGCTAAGGAAGGTTTTAAAATTCTTAAGAAAACTATTCAGAGCCAAAAACATAAAATAGTCTTCCTGTCCAAAATATAAATAGGTATAAATATTTAGATATTATGAGTGATTTTTTATTCTATAAATAGAACCTAATTTGCTTCTAAATCACTACCTAAAGAACTATATTATATACTACAAAACTAAACAAGAATATCACATTATTCATGTTTTTTTTAATTTCCTTAAAGAACGTCATAAAAAAATAAGGAGTTTACATCGTTATGCTAAAACAATACTAGAACAACTTAAATAATGTGGATTTTGACTATTTTAAGTTATGCAAATCATTATGATCTAAAAAAATGTTTGTCTGGTGCTATAGTCAGGTATAAAAACATTCATTTATTTAAACACAGTTGGAATATACATTTTATTTAGGTTTTAAGTTAAAACCTATTAGGACATCCTAAAATGAATGTTTTCGTTTAATTATTCTACATGTTTGTTGGTAAAATAGGATATATTAAGATGTCTTACTGTTTTCTCTGATTATCTAAAAAGTTAGAACAATATACAAAGACTGTTATAACAAAAAAGAAATATACCTTTACTTAAACACACAATTAGTCAGTTCAAGTGTACGATAATTTAAAGCAGAAATCCGGAAAACTTTAAAAATATATTTAAATGTGTTTTTACTATAACAAGGACATAATTATTTAAAAAACTTGGCACATTAACATTGACGATAGGTTTTTATAATATCCTAAAAAGTCGGTGTCGGCACGTGGAGTGAATTTTGAAATCCAACAAAAATTGAAGATTTTTGTAAACATGAGTGCAAAATTAGATGAAATCAACCGATATGGTATTGTTCCATTTAGTGGCGCCAATTTTGACAACTGGAAATTCCGCATGGAATCTGCCCTTAGGGCTGCTGAAATACATGACGTATTAAAGCCAATTCCAGCCACTGATAAAACTGAAGCGTGGATGAAACGCAACAATAGAGCAAGAAATTTAATTATTAGTGTAAGTGACTCTCATCTTGAATATATAAAAGATATTGACGAAGCAATAGATATGATGAAAAAATTAGAAACCATTTTTGCCAAGAAAGGTACGTGTTCCAAGTTTTATTTATTAAAAGAACTGGTCAATTTAAAGTATAATACAAAAGATGATTTGAAAGAACACTATACAAAATATGACAAGATTTCTCGTGAGCTAAAGAAATTAGGGGCCAATTTTGAAGAATCTGATATAGCTTGCTTTTTATTATTATCAATGCCTGCAGAGTATGAGAGTGTTGTAACGGCAACAAGGACCGTATCTGATGATGACATACAGCTGTCCACAGTGAAAAATAGACTATTAGAGTTTAAAACAGTAAATAAAATATGAATAAACCTGAAGCTGCCTTCGTTGCCACTAAACAAAAACCTAAA